AATATTTAAATATCATAATTAAGGATTGAAAAAAAAAAAAAACGAGAGGATATCAGAAAGGTTTTCAACAGCAAAACTACATCTTTTAACAAGATAGAGGCAAGCCTTACTTTGATTGTTTGACAAACTTCACCAATTTTTAAAACTTAGACATTTCTTTTTTTACCTTCATCCTTGAAATCACATTGTAGGGTATTTAATTTCATCTAAAATCATGCCTTGGTACATCTTACAGGTATATCCCGCCATAAACATTGATACTCAATCAATGCAAATACTAATGTAAAAGTATACAATAAGACTATTTCTAGTCGTAAAATAGAGATCACAATTAATCATCACCATTAAATGTAAAACTAGATATTGTATTTATTTCATTGACAAGAAAGAATAAATTTTAAAATTTTTTTTTTCAAACTTTGTGTCATACTCAAATAGGCATATTTCACATGAGATGGTTACAAGTAATTGTCTCCTTATTTGGTCATTAGTCCCATTACATACAATCTTATTAAATGTATTCATATGTATGACATCGTACGAGCGTCAACCTTTGCTTCCAAGTGAACGGTGGCCATTTAAGTGCAATACCTAATTATTGATATTCACCGGTTAATCTTCATCGTCCATCATTAGGAATGGACGGTGGACGTCTACGTGCTGTACCACATATAAACCCCCAATGTACACTATAATAATTGACACTAAAAGGAAAAAAGCAATGAGCATCAGCCGTAGATTCTCGACAGGCAATGGTGATTAACTGCAACACCAGCGATTGATTTTCTCCCGGATGCGAGTTAGTCGTCCATCACCCCATTATGGGGAATAGACGGCAGATGTCCATTTTGTGTACCAACACACCACTTGTGTATAATATATTGAGAAGGAAAGGTATAGAAAGAAAACCTGGGCTTTTGGCTTAAGAATCAAGCAATCACTATGGAAATGGCTTCCAGCTTCAATTCTTTTGCTCTTCCATAAAGGGCTGGCTATATATGCCACACATTGAATTTCTCTCTCTCTCTCTCTCCTCTTTCTATGTGTCCATTAAATCTAGGGCCCCTTTCTCTCTCTAACCTAATGCTTGTCTCTCTCTTAAAGTACCCAAATCTAGTGTTCTCTCTCTTCATACCATCATCTTATGTTCCTGTCTCTCTCTAACATACCAATATACGATCTAGTGCCCCATCTCTCTCTAATATGGTGCTCCTCTCTCTCTCTCTCTCTCTGTTAACATACCCAAATTTATTGGCCCCTCTCTCTCATACCAACATCTATTGATCCACCCTCTCTCTCATAATCTATTGGTCCACTCTTTCCCAAATCATTGTTCCTCTCTCTCTCTCTCTAATCTAGTCTATTTTCTCACCTACCCAAGTTGGGTGTTTTTCTCTGAATCCAATCTCTCTCTCTCTCTCTCTCTCTAAATCTAGTCTCTCTCTCACATACCAAGTCTAGTGCTTCTCTCTCTCTCTCTAATCTAGTCTGTCTCTCTCACATACCCCAGTTTAGTGCTTCTCTCTCTATCCAATCCCCCTTTCTCTCTCTATAAACTTTACAAAGTTGATATTATCTGGCCCAGTTTTGATGGACACAATTCTTGGAGAGCTGGAGACTTAGAGAGGAAGAAAACGAAAGTGGGTTTTCAGAGTCTCTTGTTGAAATTGAAGGTGTCGGTTTTTGATAAATGAGGAACTGATAACATCAAAAACCAGTACAAAACAGTACCAACAAGAAAACCCCAAGAAAAAGACAGAAAACTTCAGATCAGATGTTGGGTATCGTTCAATTTCTATAAAATTGTGAACAGATCCATTAATAACGACCCATTGATTGGAAATGAGACAAAAAGAGGATCAGAGCGATGGTAAGTAGAGAGAGAGAGAGGATTAAAAAAAAGTTGGCCATGCTACGAAAGGAAATGCTTTCAAAGAGAAACAATCATCTGCTTCTAATGAAAAGGAAAATTAGATATCCAAAATATTACATTTGAATAACCATATTAGTTAAATATTTTCTCCCTCTTGTTTTTTCTCTCTAACTTACATTTACAGAAAGCTTCGTTGTCTGCAGAGATCTCATGTACAGTGAGAGGAGACAGGGATTCATGGACTGATAAATCATCTGATATATATTTACAGTCACCTCAAATCCACAATTGCAATAAATAAACCATCCATAATCTTCTTCTTCTTCTTCTTCCTCTTTCTATCTGTAACTCTCTCTCTCTCTCATGCCCTGCAAATAAGGAGCTTCTTAGCTTCGAGCCTCCTTTGATGGTTCACCCTCGCAATGAAATCCTCAACCCTCTTGTTCAGCTCATCTGTAGGCAACCCACTCTCTTCTTCTCCCTCACCTTCATCAGTTACCCTCTTAACCTCCTCTTCATCTCTCTCTTCTTCTTCTCTCTCTGCAATCTTAGAGACCTCCACGACGGAAATCACCTCAGTGGCAGCCGGCCCAATCACCTTCTCGGTGTTTTTCTCTCTAACTTTCTCCACAACAGTGGAAGAGGCTCTAATGAAGCTTTGATTTCTCTTGATATACTCCTCATAGAGGTCTGGTTTCCCATTGGATGAGCCAACAAGCCTGGATTCACCAAAGAGGAAGAGGACTATGCCATTACAGAGCACAAACAAGAAACCCGGGCTCATCACAAAGTTCGTGAGCCTTGGGAGAAGAACAAAGAGGAAGAGAGCCGCATAGCGGTAGAGAGAAGGGAGCCACAGTGGGCTAGAGAGAAGAAGGCCAAGCAAAACGGCACAGACAGGGTAGAACAGCAGTCCCCCAACGAATTGGTTCCTCTTGTACTTGTTCATGGCCTTGAGCTTTTCTGCATTAATGGAATCCATGATGAATGAACAGCAAAGGAAGAGAGAGAAAGCAGGTTGTAGAAAAGGAGTTGGTGTTGGTGGTGGTGGTGGTTTTTTAGTGAGAGAAACAGGGGGGGATAGATAACTGAAAACAGAACTGGGGTGGTGGTGTCAGAGGAGAGAGAAGGGGTCCAAGGTAGAGAGAGAAAGCGGAGAGAGAAGGTGGTGGATTTTTAGTGAGAGAAAGAGGGTTTGAGTTTTAGAGAAAGGGAGAGACTTGGAGAGAAGTCGTAGAGAGAGAAGGATGGATGGGAATCCGACTGAAAATTGTTGAGGGGAGTGAGCGGGGTTAAATAGGGAGATAAAGAAGCGCTTTTTCTCTCTCTACAAATGGAGAGCTTTTTGAAAAGCTAAAAATAAGAGAGGGAGAGTGGGGGGTTGCCGGCCTTATTTTTTTGTTATTTTAGCTTTCCACTCTCGAGAGTTTGATGGTTTTGAATAGGACCACAAATGGGTATTTCCCGTCTTTTAGAACGCAAGCCCTTCACGCCTCATTTTAAGGGGCCCTTCTCTTGCTTGCTCGAGGAGGAAACTAACTCAAAACCCGCTTCCTTTACCAGCTCTTCTAAGGCAGTTTTCACTGTGCTCTCTCTCTCTCTCTCTCTCTCTCCCCCCTAAGGAATTTCCCACTTTAGTTTCTCTCTCTGGTTACAAAAGGCAGTTTTCACTTTGGTTTCTCTCTCCTCCCCTTTCTCTCTCTATATTATAAGAAAATGTTTTTTTTTTTTTATACGATGGTGTTAGATTTATTAATGAATTTATTACAAAATTACAACTATAGAAAGGAAGCCAACTCCGAAGAAATAGACACCGCCCCCCCCAGGGGAAGGATGAGCCCCATTTAGCTAATCCATCATACCTAACATTAGCTTCTCTGTAAATATGTTTTAAATGAAACCTGCATAGAATCACTATTTCTATAAACATGTTTTAAATGAAACCTTCATTGAATCACTAATATCCATGATTTACAACCGCATGAATCTCAATGTCCGAGGTAATCTTTGTAGCTCCTTGCACCAATCATTTATTTTTAGTGAATCCCCTCGGCAATTAAATAATTTCCAATCGGCTTAAAATCTGATTAGCCATTTTACTTCCAAGGGTTCATTATTAAAGAACAACACCACATTACTATCGGTTACAATAACTAGACATTGAGTTTCCTATCTTGTAGATTACAAGATATTGAGTTTTTTATTTTATGGGATTATATTTATAATGAAATTTATTTAAAAAAAACAAAAAATGTAATTTTATAAATTTTTTGTAAACCAGAATAATCATTATGAATGAAGTACAAGTTTACCTTATGTGAACATACTCTATCTCGTCACTATTTCTTTCATTATAAATTATACACGATTAGAATCTCTATGTAATCCTCCCTCTCCCACAGGTCTCAAGTTCCCAAATATCAAATTTAGTTTGTAACATTTCTACGCAGGAAGAACCCATTTGCCTTTTAGTTGGAAATTTGGAATGCAATGGTTTGCTAAATTCACCAAGTTCAGTGGTGCATCAACCATTGAGACACCCATCCTTCTTTTGTAACCAAAACCAACTCCAAAATGTATATGGGACTTTGCTTTTAATTTTATTCTCATTCAAAATAATCCCATCAGAAAGTCTTCTATTCATTTCTTTCCATAACTCCCATAATATGCCTCACGAAATATTTTCCAAATTGTTTTTCTAGTTTTGAGCAATTTGGGCAAGTTGAAATGCTCAATAATGTCCTTATGGCATCAAAGAACATTCTATCTTTTCTACCCAAATACAAAAGCTAAAGGAGCAATATAAAAAATAAATGATCTTGTATTTCCTCATCTTCTTTACGCATCAAACAAATACTAGTCATAATATTATCTCTCATCACAATAGGAATCCTACCTTCCGAACCCCTCTTTCTCTCCAATATGGAAATGCATTGAGGAATTTAGCATGTGTGTGTTATATATAGGGCATCAACCTTATACTATATAGGTATGGTGCACCTAAAAAACTAGCAAAAAAAAGTTGTTTCGGTGCTTGGTAATCTCGACCTTGAGATATATGAATATGATAAAAGGTTTTCAAGTCTTAAAAATATTATGCATCTTGTAATACATTATTTATATCATCCATTTTCAAGATGTTTAAATGTTTACGGATCCGCTTGATCTACACTATTTTTGGAGCTCTAAATTTTATCATCAGTGACAAAAATGGATTTCAGGCCATTAGAAGGTGTTTTTTTTGGCACTAAAACAACGTCTCTCGATAGAATTCTGGGGTGGATTTTGTTATGTAACCTACACCCATATGCACACATGCACACACATAAGAAGAAAAGTTCATTTTATTAATTTTCAAAAAAGCAAAGTATTTCAGTTAGCAATGTAAGCGATGAACTAAGATTAATACTTAATTGGTGCTCAAATGTATATCTGATTGCCAATTGACAAAAATAACAAAGCAGAGTAAGTTCAAGATAATTATGTAGAGATTTTTTAATTCTTTTCAAAGATTATATAACACAGTTATGCTTCATTTCCTTCATAAGTTCAACGTTTTGAAGTTATTTTTGAAAATCACCCTTTCACTATTTTTAAGAAATTAGAGTATTCTCCAAAACGTTTGTGTTATAAATGGAGCTTTGCCAACATTAATTAAGGTTAAAATATCAACGAGACTAGATCTCTTCTCTCTTCCTCCTCATTTTCTCTCTTGTTGCTTACCCGCATGTGCAAAGAACATTTGACTTTGGTCACTCTCTCTCTTTCTCTCTCTAAAATTTTGCATTGCACAAAGATCCTCAAAGTTTAGGTTAATATATGAAAGAAGCCATGTGTCATCTCATTTCCTCATTGTCTCTCTTATTACTCTCTCGAGTCTGATAAATATTGGAATTTTGAGCTAATATCTTTCTTTCAAAAATTTTCTTTTTGACCGAACATCTTTGACGAAAACTCGATATCAAGGAACTGGCATCCACTGCTTAAGGACTAATAAAAGGTCCCTGAATTTTTTTTTTCTTTTCCACTAAAAAAAATAATTGCCAGGGGTGGCAATGGGCCGGGCCAGGAGGCCCCTACCCTAGCCCAACCATAATCCTCATAGGATCGGCCTTGGCCCGATCAAGCACTAATCGGGCTAAAAAAGCTGTGGGCCAACCATGGCACTAGCCTTATCTGGGCCTGGCCAAATGAAAATGGAAGAAAACGAAACAAAAGAAAAAGTCTGCACGGCCGGCTTAGCCCGTGCCCAGAGCGAACCCTACCCATAGGCATTGGTTACCTGGCCCTAGTTCGTTGGGCCACCCGGCCCATTGCCACCCCCTAATCATTGCCGACATTGAAATATGATTGTGTTGTTAATGCAGCATGACAGGGGCAATCCAGGTATTTTAAGATGCCAACTGTCACTCTTAGCATAGTTAATGCAGCGAAATAAGGTCCACAACATTTAGTCTTTGATTTGTAGATCCAGAAATATAATTGTTTTTTTAGATGTCATTTTTCCTTCACATAAGCCTCTCTCTCTCTCCCTTGAACAAGCAAAGGATATTGTAGGGCCGCGGCTCAATAAAGCCGCACCCAAAAACCGGCCACAAAATACATTTCTCGTATCAATAAACTTTTCGAATAGGTCATCTCAACCTCACAACCATGATTCTAATTTTAAACCTTCGAAATGATTTGTAACATATAAGGTAGGGACACTAAACCAATGTTCGCAAAATTGAATCAGAATGGTCAACTGGACAAGGTCCAAAAACGGTTTAATCGGCCTAACTCGAAAATCAGTCGATTCAAACGTTCTAATCGAACAAGTACCAAGTAGTCAAAAAAGTGTTGAAAATAAAAAATATACATAAAAAAAAAAATCTACTAAATTATGAAAAACATATAAAAAATGATTAAAATAAAAACATTCAAATAAAATTGAAAATTAATGAAACATGGATTTTAACAAATCGAATTTGAATTAAAGTGAGTAGTAATGACCAAAATAACTTTTAATCTTTACCATAATGTAAATAACATTAAAAAATGCTTTACAACCCAAATTCTTTATTTTGAGAATTTATATACATTTTTATAAAAATTTTTAAAATACCAGTCGATCACCAAAACCAGAACTGGCCAGTGGCCAGTTCCAATCTAACTAGGCTGTTGGTGGTTAGATTGCCTGATTTTCCAACAATGCTCTAAACAATCAAATTAAGGCGGACCTCAAAAATTCAATAGAAGAAGTTGTTTTGACACCCAAAAATCCTTAAATCGATCATCTCAACCTCAAGATGTATGGAGAAAAATATATATTACAAGTCTTGGAAATATTATATCTTGTAATGAAATTTTTTTTACCGTCAATTTTTAAGCATTTCAAGTTGGCATAGATCTGCTCGATCTACACGATGTTTTAATCTTGTTTCTTCTAATTAGAGATGAAAATAAATTTTGTGGCCATCACAAAGATTTTTAGTATTAAAATAATAGCTTTCAAGTTTGCATACATCTGCTCGATCTACACTATTTTTTAATCTTATATCTTCTAAGTAGAGCTGAAAATAAATTGAGGCCATCACAAAGATTTCCAGTATTAAAATAATATCTTTCGACATTATTTGAAGGTGTGTCCACTTTGATCGTTTAGGGCCTCAAGTGTATACAAATCACACCCTTTTTAGAATCATTTATTTGAAAAGCTCCCAATCAAACTAATCATTTTTAGAGCTTCAAATTCTGATGGTAATGGTGAAAACAAATTTCCAAACCATTACAAGGTTTCTCACACCATAACTCCATTGTACATTACGTTTTGGGTCCGTCTTCATCGTATATTGTGAACCTACGGTCCTACCAAAACAACACCTTTTGGACATCTATCCATGCTTTTTGCTTGTAGAAAGAGAATTGGCGCGGTAAATATGTATTTGAAGAAGAATTTATTTTATTTAATTTCTTTCCCCTAGATGTTTGGCTATGTACGTGGCACCTATTTTGCTTTAGGGTATATCCAAAATTTTTTGTGTGAATCGTTTATATTTTTGAGTCATTTTCACCTTTATATTATAAGGGGCACGTGGCAACCATCCAATAAATTTTTAGGCAAAAGTTCACTTTAGAGACAACACATACCTTGATGTTTTTATTGGCCTCTTGCTTCACTCATTTACCTTATACTAAGTACGTGGGGGACCCTGGCTCTCACACGTGTAACA